AGACAGAGAATTAACAAACAATCAGAATTGCGAATTGGATGAAATATCTTTTTTCATAGCAGTTCTGAACTAAATCTCTTTAGGCATTTTTTGTTCAAGTGTTAGACTTGTTTATGTTGGTGGTTAAGAATATATTCCAGTATTGGGCCATTGTAACAAATATCAACTTTGCGTTATTTTTATTATATTTGCAATTTGATTTGAAAGTGTACTTGAAACTCGATAAAATAACAACGATTAAAACGTCGCCATTTCGTAGACGACCTCCAGCCACTGCACACTAATGGCTGATAGTGTGCAATGGCTCAGCCAATCAGATTACAGCATTTGCATTAGTATACTAGTAGAATTCTACTAATAACAATTAGATTATGGGCTCGAGATTTCTAAAAGGTGATAGTTGATGAGGCCGAAGGCCGAATCCCCCATCTTCTCATAGATATCGAGAGTGCATAATCTAATTGTTTTAGTAGAATTCTTACTATAATTTACTTCAAATAACGGTGTCCAATTATTTCTTGACGTATTACTAAACTTTGCCTGAAAAAGATCGCTCGGATTGAATTGTCATTCAAAATTGAACTTGTGAGCGCGTGCGACTCAGTTTTTTCAATAATTTCAACTTTTTTCAAAGGCAAGAAACCGTAAATGTCCTTCGTTTAGACTTCTCCGGAATTTAAAAATCTCTTTGCATCAAAATTTTCCTCCAAAACTTTGGTAAAACGAAAAGAAACGTCATTTCCTAGGCTACCTCCAGCCACTGCACACTAATCGCTGATAGCGTTTAACGGCTCAGCCAATCAGCTTACAGCATTTGCATTAGTTTACCGGTGGAATTCTACTAAAACTCGATAGAAACATGGTACATGTTTTATATTTCTTAAGTAGTAATTTTCTGCAAACGGCCTACCTTATCACATCAGTCTGGGTATTCTTCCTGGAAGATTTGGCTTTATTTGACAACGAAGAAGACTGGGGAGCAATGGCGGAGTGAGTTTTCTTAAGCCGCCTTAAACTCAGTTGCTCTGTGAAATTTTAATGGCCAAAACTCTTGAAGAAACACCGAACAAACGAAAAATTAGAGTGTCTTCGTCAGACGAATCTTCGATATCGAACGCTTCTCCAGAAACCAAAAACTTGAAAAGCGGCGAGCACGCTGT